TGGAACACAAAAGGATGGGGGATTTCTTAACCATTGCTATTTTCCAAGATCATAGGACTCAAGTGCAGTTCAACATTGTCGGCAGGCAACTGGGGCTAGGAACAGGGCAGCCAGAGGTGCTGGCGGCCACAGTGCTCCCAGGAAGGTCTCCCGCGTGGAGGGTCAGCGGGCTCGGGAGGCAGGCCCTGCTCCAGGCTCCATGAGGACGGGTGGGGTCTAGAAGAGGATGGTGGCCTTGCGAGGGGCTGCACCCCAAATGACGGGGGCTTCGGGCAGGGAAAAGCTCAGAGGGCAGAGCAGGCTCCCTGGCATGGGGCCAGCCGGGCTGGGGAGAAATTCAGAGTGCACAGCTCTGGGGGCCCCAGCAACAAGAGACCTTGGCCCATCCCCCAGTCCTGGGGAAGCGGCTGACAGTCACCTGGGCTTTGAACCCTGCCCTACCGGCCCTAGGTGAAGGAGCCAGGGGCCTGGGCGGTGGGGAGGTCCCCGCCGAACAGGCAAAGGAGAAAGGGAGATGAGGCTGCGGGAGGAAAAGCGCACACTTGTCTCTTTTCAAATTCTCTCGCTACGTCGGGGGAAAAGGACAAAAGTCTGGGAAAAGGTGGCCTCCAGGAGCCCCTCTCTTTTGTGCCAGCCCCAGAGGGAGGAAGGCTGATTCCCAGGGCCCGTCTTGGGCCAGCCTGCCCGGTGGGCCCTCCCCCGGCTCCCCTCCACGGGCGGGGCGGAAAAGTGGCTGCCCCACAGAGTCCCGGGGGGATTCCAAACCCACTGCCACCCAACTCACGTACATACACACCCTCTCACATACGTACAGCGACACACACTCCCACTCACTCATGCACTCACATGCTCTCACTCACACACTCTTGCACACTCCCACTCATTCACACACATTCACTTGTACTCACACACACCTTCAACGACACAAACGTACACTCACGCTCCCCCATATGTGCACTCACACCTGCCTGGGGACCCGCACGCACAGGTACACTGAATGAGGGAGAGACAAGGGATCAGTCCCTCTCCCATCCCCTCTCCTCTTGTCCTGCCCCCTAAATCGTGAGGGGCTGGTGGAAAGTGGTCAGTTGCCATGGCCCTGCCGAGACACACGGGACAGACAGACGAACCTGGGACGTCTGAAGGAGGCAGGGAGAGCAGGGCCCATCTGGGGGCCTCACCCCAATCCTGCAGTACCCCCTGATGGGACATGTGCAATGTCCCCACAACACGGGGCCAAGCCCATTGGGCCAAAGAGGCTGCAGGCATGGCCCCCATGATCTCCTTCCCGACACTCCCTTGCGACCCTCTCTCCATTGCCCTCTGTGCCCAGCATCTCCAGGGGCCCCTCCATCCCTGCAGCCCCGCTGTCTGCAGCTCATGCCACACAGCCCAGGGCTCCCCAGATGCTCGGTTCCTGCAGGCTGGTTAGACAGCTTTAGGCCCAGGCCTCAGCTCCCTGCAAGGTCCTCGCCCTGGCTCATTGGCTGCTTTGGGGACTGTGTCCTTCTTCTGTACCGTGTGGGTGGTCAGAGGCTCCGACCCTTAAGAATGGCTGGAGGACGTCAGTGGGCACTGACTGAGCGAGCCCTCAAGGGCCCCTCACCATTTCCGGGTCAACGGTACCATCCCGTCCCCTCTCCGCACATTCGTTCTGTCTCCCAAAGACTCTGAATCGGTTAGACGGCTGATGGCTGGCTGCCCTCAAATTGTGGTGGGCTCACCAGTCTCCTGAGGTGAGAGGGCAGAGCCCAGGAGGGTTGAGGGAGGTGGTTCCTGGCTCCTCACACCTGATGACAGACCCCTCTGAGCACTGCTCCTCCAGCCACGGCACGCAGAGAGGGGGTCTCCACGATCAGCAGTGTCCTCCGTCCTGGGTGGGTGCCCTCCTCCGGTGGCACCCAGGGCTCCGTGGGCTGCAGGGACCCAGAGCCGCCCTCCAGGCAGGAAGGGGGCACTCCCCAGGTCCTGTCTGCAGCCTCCCACTCACGGCCACTGCCTCCTGCCTGCTCCCAGGACACAGCACTGGTGCCCCGAGGAGCTGGATGGAGGGCAGTGGGACAGGGAGGCGGTGCCCGAGACCTTTGGGGGGTCGCCCTGCCCAGGACTCAGAGTGGAGGGCAGCTTTCCCTGCCTTCCCTCCCCCGCACCCAGGGCACGAGGGTTGTGGAAACCCTGCCTGGCCCACCCTGCGTCCCTCGGCCATCACATACCCCCAGGTCCACAAACGTCCCTCAGTGGCTAGACAGAGGCTGGTCACTTGTCGGCTGGCAGGGGTAGGCTGATCACGAATGGGTGGGCAAACACCCCCGACCCGGAATCCTGCACCCAGTTCCTGGCAGGGGCGTCTGACCTCACGCCCAGGCCCTTCTGTGGCCAGCTGGTCTCTGAGATTGCACATGTGACCTCTTTGACCCATCTGGGCGCCCTGAGCCCCTACGGCATTGCCAGGGATCCTGGAGTCTTAGACCCTGCCTGTTGTCCCTCCCCCTCCCTTCAACGTCTGAGCTACTTATTCCTGGGGGCACACCGAGTTTCCTAGGGACCCAACCAGCCACTGCCCGTGACCACAAGTTCCTGTCACCCGGCTCCGACCAGCCCAGGGGACCACACAGCACCTCTGGGACCCTGCCTTGATCATACCCCAAGGCCGACTCGGGTACCAGGCCAGTGTTGACCCCCCACCCACACCCTCAGCAGACCCTTCCCTCAAATGTCCACAGCAAAGGTGACACTCAGCAGAAACAGTCAATGAAATTTATTAAAGAGAACCATTTACTGAAACCATTGAAGAGAAGGGAATGACAACACAGAAAGGAAATTGTAACAGCCACTACAGCCCACAGGTCTCGCCCCCTCCCCATCCCGGGGTCCCTAACAGGTGCATCAGCTGCCCCCCACACTGCAGCCCTCCCGCCATAGTCTCCCTTCCTGGGGGCTCCAGGATCAGCCTCTTGCCAGGACGATGGATGCTGGCAATGTCCTCTCACTCAAGGGCACACCCTCCGCCTCTGGCTGACATGCTGGGGCAGGGCCCTGCCCTATGGCCCACACAGGACAGTCACAGGACGCTGGAAAACATGGCAGGGGACACTCCACCAAGCCCAGGAAACTGAGCCACAAGAACAACAGGTTGGCACATCAGAGCACAGTCCCAGTGGAGCCTCCCACAGCCTCCCTCCGTGCCCCTGCTCCAGTTCTTCCTTCCCGAGGTCACAGGGTGAGCGCTGGCAGAGCCCTCCTCTGTCCGTCCTTCCCGGCATCTCCTGGGCCTGGGCTCAGGGGTCTCTGGGGTGGGGTGGTGGGGGAACTGCTCAGATAAGCACACACACGTCTCCACAAGAACAAGCAGCGGTTGGCCTGAGTCTACACCGAGAAAGCAGAGTTGAGCTCACGGCACTGGACGAGGGCGACCAGGGCCGTGGCTGGCACTGAAGCTCACAGCACGTGCTGGGGCTGAGAGAGGGCTGTCCCGGTAGGCCAGGACACCCAGCCCAGGTTCACACACGCCTCACAGCGCTGCACAGAAATGATAGCGTGTGTTGGGAGGGGGGTCTGGGAGGGGATTACTTATCACCTGGCTCACCAGAGGGCCTACAGAGACAAAACTGGGCTTCCCAGAACTTTTTGGTGAATAGGGGTCCCACTCTCAGGAAGCCCGGGTGGCTGGCACTCTTGAGATGACCCCTAATGTTTCTCGGGCCAGTGCAGGTGGCAGACGTCTTCAGGTGCCCCTCACCTCGGCCGGGGTCCACCGCTCTGGTGAGCTCTCAGACCGGCTGCCTGAGTTGGCAGGGGCTGGGGCTGGCCTTAGCATCAGCAGCTGCTGAGTTGTGGTTTGCCAGGCCAGTCTCAGGTTCCGTTGCCTGCTCTCTCCAGGTCTCCAGTGGCCTTGTACAAATACCAGAACAGAACAACACCCCCCCACCAAGTCCTCCATTCTCCTCTTCCTCATCTTCATCTTCCTTCATTTCACCCTCCTCCTCGTCCACCTCTTCCTCCTCCTCCTCTGCCTTTCCCTTCTCCTCTACCTTTCCCTCCTCCTCCTCATCTACCTCCTCCTCCTCCTGCTTTGGACCAAAAGTTTATCTGCACACCCACTCACACCAAAGCCAGCTTTGGGGTACACGCCCACCAGGTACCCAGCACCCTGCCTGCCAGGCTGAGCCGAAGCTCTCTCCTGGGAATCTTCTCACAGTCTTTGCTCTCCTTGCCCCCATAGCCCTTCCAGGCTGTAGGAGGAGGAGACTGCCTGCAGGCTGGCACCAGGCTCCCAGGGCCTTTGGGTCTCCTGTCCTCACTTGTGCAGGGGCTCGAGGGTGCTGCCTTCCTGGGGGTCCCCTAGAGCAGTGTAGATGATCCTGAAGACCGGCTGGACCCTGCGGCCTCCCCTCTGGGGCATTACGTCCCTGCTGCGCAGCTCTTCCTCACTGGCGCTGGCCCCTTCTGTCAGGGGCGGCCCCGGGGAAGGCTCCTCTGGGGCCCATGTGGCTTGGGAGCAGGTTGGCATTCTTAGCTCAGAGCCCACAGGGTGGGCGTTTGGGGGTGGCCAGATATCAAGGTCGATGCCAGAACCCCCAACTACACCTTCGTCAGCCTCTGCCACATTGGGGTCTCCACCAGTGGCTGGAGTGCCCCCATGTGCTAGATGCAGTGGATTTTTGCTTACATTGCCGGCACCTGCCTGAGCCGAGTTCGGCTTGGTGGATGGAGTTTCCTCCAGCTGGTGAAGGGCAAGGGAGCTCGGCCTGGGCCTGGCTGCCCTGTCCCTCTGCCCTACTCAAGTTCCCTGCTGTTTCTGTGTGCTGCCTCTTCCCCTTCTTAAAATCTTTCTGCTGCTTGCCAGGGGAGGGGGCGCCTGCATCTCTTGAGCCTATGTTTTCTAGGGCTCGGTGTGGCTCATGGCCCCAGCCCCTGTCTCGTTTCCCGACTCTTCTGCTGCAAGCTGAGGACTCTGCTTTGCTAGAGGCTGGTTCTGGGCCCTAGGACACGCTGCCTGGCTGTGGCCTTCCTGTCCACTACCGTAGCAGCAGCGGCAGTCGCCTGCGCTTCAATGATGGGACCGCCCCTTCCGGAAAGGTCTGGGTGCTGCTCTCACTAAACGGCCCTGCCTGCACAATGGCCTGAGGCATGGGGACAGTGGCTTCTACTACTACTTGTCTGCCAGAGGCCCTGTGGCCCCTTCCTACTTGCCTCTCCTTCTCGTTCGTCACTGCCATGGTAGTCTCCCACTCCTCTTCATCTCGGATGAGCTTCACTAACTCCAGAAAAGTGGGAGGACATCCTCGCTGATCCAGGAGCTCGAGCTTGCCCCGGAGGGTGGTGGCCATGGAGGCCCGAGCTAGGATGTGTTTCAGGCGGATCATGTCTGTGCTGTGCATCGACATGGAGCTGTGCTGCACAGCTCTCTGCAGCAGGGGCTCCAACCGTAGCAAGAACACAGAAATTTTCTCGCCAGACTTCTGAAAGGTCTGGAGGAACTTAAACTGTGAGGTTCTCCACTCCTCTTTATTCCCAAAGATCTCCTTCAGGGCGTCCAGGCACTGCTCCACAGTCATAGAGTCATTGTTGGCCTGGAGCACTCGCATGATTGACAGGGCAGAGCCATGTAAGCTCTCCAGCAAACGCCGCCTCTTCTCCACCTCAGACACTTGCCATATCTGCATCATCTCAGTGACCTGTTCCAGCCAGTCTTCAAAGTTCTCTTCACCTGGGCCTGGGAAAGTGCTTCCCGAAAACACTTTCAGTTTTCGGTACCACATGCTTTCTTTCAGAGGCTGCAAGACTGGTGGTTTGACTTGGGCCAAGCCCTCTGGCTCCATGTTCTCAGTGGGAGTGCTATACCCCAGGGTTCTGGCCACATCTACCATTCTCCAGCCCTCATCTTTCAGGAAGTAGTTCAGTCTACTGATAAATTCGTCATCTGGGTTACGGGGTTTTACCACCACTTCCCAGGCACCTCCCTTTCCTAGTATCTGACTAGGTATCATAGCATAATTAACGGTGTCAGCGAATTCGATCAAGACTGCCTTAGCATTGTCTTCTCTTCTGAACATTCTGCCCAGCACCCTGTAAGTGCACAGGGGCTGTAAGCCTGCCTTCACGGTCTCTTTAATTTCAGCCTCAGTACACTCCACAGGGATCCCCACGATCAGCAGGGCCTTCCTGGGGTCCAGGTCCATCCCCTTGCACCAATCCTCTAACAGTGTCACGGCCATTGCTCCCACTTTCTATGGACTAATCTAATACTAGGGGCAGTAATCAGCTCACAGAGTTTGACCAGGACTCAAATAATTCTGAGCTGATGCCAAGTACGAAGGCAGAAGCGTCCCAGGTTTCCACAGGCTGTAATACAAATAGGGTGAGTGCATCATTAATGCCCGCTCCCCACCCCCACCACGAGCCCCTCCTCTGCCCCCATGTCTGCTCACAGGGATTCAGTCCCTGCTTTTTAGGGCTCCCCCTGTCATTTAGTGGAGGGTAGAGTGTGGAGGAGTCTCCCCAGGCCAAACTCCCCCCACCTCATCCCCTCCCTGCTGACCTCCTGTTGCTGTGGGTTCCTCCTCAAAGTCTGAGGACTCTGCTGCGTGTGCTGCAGGTGCCTGTGGTGAAAAGGCCAGCATCAGGAGGCGGGGCCTGACACCTGGGGACACTGACAAAGCCCTCCAAGCAGGGGAGACAGGAGAATGTCACACTCCCCAGATCAGGGCCATGCAGGCCCAGGACACCTGGCACCCTCTTTGCTGGGGCAAAGGCTGGAGGAAGGAGATCCGAAGTTCCCCTCTTTCCTAGAAAATGCTTGACAGATGAGAAAGATGGCTGGAGCTCTGTGCAATGCAATGAAACTAGTGGGTATGTAATGTATGTGAGGAGCTGCAGTGTTGCCATGGGTACCGAGAATAGCATGAACCATGGGTTTCTTTGCCAGAGAGGTGTCATGTGGTAAGGTTAAGGCCCTTGAGGAGCAACAGGTGATGTCACTGGCCTCCAACCAATGAAATATCCTAGAAATAAGATGGGGAGGAGGGGATGTTTAGGGAGGGCAGTAAGAATCAAGGGCTGGAAAACAAGAGCTTATGGTTTCAAATTGTGTAGAAGCTGGAACCAGGTGCAGAAAAGGGACCCAGAAAGGGTCTCCAGTGCCACACTGCAGGAGACAGAAAACTCTCACCCTAGGTGTGACCCTACCCTGTAGAGCCTGTAAACCTTGGCAGGCAGCCCCTTTCCTCCTTCTCTTTGCCAGGGTTACAGAGGCCCCTCCCAACATAGACCCACCTCGCAACTGCTCACCACGCTGAGGACACTCTGTTGGCAGCGCAGACGCTGGGATTCCACTGACACTCAACGCTTGGCTTGCCCTCTAGCTCTGTCCACAGCCAGGCAGTTCCTGGCCCCAGGGTGGTGAGTACTACTCCACTGGATCTGTTCAAGGCAAGGCACAGGTGTTCTGCTATGGTTCTGCCCAACGGGCCCCTGCTTAGGCTGTGCCAATTCTGAGTCTGCACAGGTATCCACAAATACCCTGGTGCAGGGATGGAAGAAACTGCTCAACTGGGGTCCATTGCTACAGCAGAAAGGATCCTACAGTAAGATTGTGTGTGTCTGTCTGTCCCCTACCTGCGCTCAATTCCACCCCTGCCCTCAAGCCCTGCCTCCCACTGCCAAATCCCACCCCTTCCCAAGCCTTGCGCCCACCCAAGCCCCTGTCCCACCCCTCCGAGGCCCTGCCCCCACCAACTATCACTCCTTCCCAAGCCCCGCCCCAACTCAAGCCATACCCCCGCTTAAGCCCAGCCCTTGACGCCAAGCCCCACCTCCACTGGAGCTCAACCCCTGCCCCCATCCAAGTCTTACCGCTGCCACCCAAGCCCACCCCTCCAAAACCCCGCCCCCACCAAAGCCCCACCCCTCTGAAGCCCTGCCCCCACCAAATCTCACTCCTTCCCAAGCCTCGCCCCCACTCGAGCCCCACCCCCACCTACACCCAGCCCCAGACGCCAAGCCCCACCCCCACTGAAGCTCAATCCCTGCCCCCACCCCAGCCCC